GCTCACAAAATGCTAATATACAAAAGTATTTAGAGTTAATACAATGCTAAATCTCATGATCCACTGACAGTTACAAGACTTAATTTCTTTTTGGGGCAAAAACAAGGTCATGAGTTTGATAAACCAGGATTGTTGGAAAGCTCACCAACACCACCAAAGTAGGAACTTTGTTCTGCAGAGAGAATTTGAGCTTGAGGCTCCTCAAAAGTCATAACTTAAGCCTCTGAAATCATAGCCCCAGCTGTCTGACCCTACATGTGAACAGCTTTCTGCTAACCTTTCACCTATCGATCAGCAAATAGGTGAGCAGAGCTGTGATTTCAATTGGTCTGAGTGTGGTTTCTGTGTATTACATATTTTTAAAAGAACAGCAGAGCTCTTGAATTCTTCAAATTCCAAAAGTTTACCAGGAACTTCTTTATAAATGATTATTGCAGTTACAATTCCATCTTTCAAAATAAATACTGTTCAAAATGTTTCCAGTGTTTGTTGTTTAATTAGAATTTTGCTAGATTAGTGCTATCAAGAGTATCACTGACTGCATATCAAACCCTAAGTAATATCCTGCTGCCTAAGTAACAGAACCATCCTAACACTCAGCATTGCTCAACTATGGCAGTAGTATTTATAATAGTAGTACATTTTAGGGGTATATTTCTTAATAAGGACTGAGTCCTTTTCCATAAGGTGACAAATACAAATTTCTCCATTAAACTTTAATCTCCCAGTCTTTTTTTTTTAAAAACTTATCTGTAGTTGTTTTTGTTGCTGTTGAGTTTATATACATCAATAAACCCTGCAAAAGCAGTCCAAACTAATTGAGATTTCCTTTAAATTTACCAGGTTCATTTGATTATAAAGAAATGATGCACTGAAAATAGGCAAGTTCCAAGGCAAGTATTTCAGTGATTTTTTTTCCTTTGAAATTGCATTATTTCAGTGATTACTTTTTTTTTTTTCCTGCAAACATCCTCTGACCTGCAGCTTGCTATGGCAACTTACCATTTGTGGAGCTTGACATGATAAAGCAGACGCAGTCGTAGACAGAAGGGCTTTCTCGGATTCTCTCAACCCAGACGTTGGCCACCTCAGGTTGGGACAGGCAAGTCAGCAGCAACCTAGACAAGAATTGCCATTTAACAGTTTGGAAACCAACAGGTTGCTTTTAACTGTGCATCGCCAAAGCCAAAATAATTACAGTGATGTGACAGAAACAGAAACACAGCTCAAGGCAAATCATTTCCAGAAAAATGTGGAAATGACAAAGGAATAAGATGGGAAAATATTAATCAGTCTACCTGTCGGTTTTCTTCATAGAAAGGTATTAATTAGTGATACAGTAATTACTAAGAAGCATTACCTGCTTGTTTCCAGAAGAGTTGGAGAATCTGAATCACACAAACGTTGCAATATCACTTGGCTGTAAGCAGAAAAATCAAAACGGAGTTTTAACAAAAAACAACTTTGTGAAAAAAAAAAGCTGTAAAAGGCTACTTTTATAGCTGTAGCCATATTTTAAAGCTCTCCATTTTTTCAACATTACCAGACTTAGAAATTACTGATTCAAGACCTTGATTGGTGTCAAAAAAGTTATGGTCTGTATCCCTTCTTTTATCTACACTTAACACTTCTCAATCACTTACGATTAGCCAAAAAGGCCTGAATGAAGATGAGGCAGGGAAAGCAAAATTGGACCCTGTTATAAAATATTTTGCACGACTGCGAGAGTCAAGCAAACAAGTACAATTAACTTATTTTCCTTGCATTTAACAGCACCGAAGAAATCATCATATTCATTTTCTCAAGTCAAATTATTAATTAAAAAAATCTAATAACTAAAATTCATCTACTTGGTCCAAAATCCATTACTAAGAGTAGTGTTCACACATGCATGTATAAAGCACATAGACACTTACCCAAGATTCTCATCTTTGCTAATGGACATGCATATGTCTTGGAAACAAGCCATATTTCCCAGTATTCCCACACAGATTTCCTGAAGAATTAAAACATGGCATTATTAAACTATCACAACATACTTCACAATTTTGTTTCCGATGCCATCACGCAAAGTAAGTAATGTTCAAAAATGCTTTACAGTTTGATTTCTGAGACCACACAAACTATCAGCTTCAAGACAGAGATGCATCCTTATAAAGGATGTTGTCAGACCGGTTGAAAACATGGGAGATGCTATTCAGATATTTATCATAGTTAAGGTATTCCGTATAAGAGAACATATCTTAAAACCAACCTTATTTGCTCTGTGAGTCTCTCTCCCCTCTCCCTATATGTATATATATATATATATATATATATGCATATTCCCACAAACATACATATAAGCATACGCATATGCTGTTTTAAAGCTAACCTGACAACTCTACTATCAAAGCAGTACAGAGTCTAAAGAAAAAAAAATCAACACATAAATGCAACACTCGGAAATACTCACTTCCTCCTGAAAAAAAAAAGGGGGGAATCTCAATATAAACTCCCAGCAAAACTCATCCTCCAATCGTATATTTTCAAAAACTAATGTGGTGCATCCTATTAGGATTCTACTCTAGAGAATCAGCAAAAAAAAAAAAATCACACTTCTGCAAAGGGAACAAGGGTTCTGGAAAACCTGCAAGTGAGCTAGCACAGAGTGTCCTGAGAATCTCTCGATTTCAGCAACACTGGAATTCAGCCCTGACCTGTCGAGGACATCAACTTTATACACGTTTTGCTATTTCTGCTAAAATTCACTGTACATTTCAGCTGCCACTATTTCAAAAAACTGAGCTACCACTGTTACTGCTACTAACAGTAATAGACAAATTGCACTGGTTTCCAGATTTCTGTTGTACTTTCATACGGCAAAGTCCTGAACTTGCAAAACACATACATCTCTAACTCATCTTCTCCTAAAGTAAAGCTTCTGGTAACGTCAAAGGAAGCAGAAGCTATACCAATACCAAGCAACTTTGAGAACTCTTATCTTAAATTTCTAACCACTAGCCAACTGTGACGAACAAGTTGCAAAACAATTCTATCAAAACTAAGAAGAAAAAAAAGGTTTAAATACTCATGTCTAAGTTCCTGATAATAAGATCATTTTCGCAGTTCTGATTTAACAAATTCATAATCCTTTCTATTCAGCAACCATGAAGCAAACGATAAGAGGAAAAAAAAAAGTCCAATCACTATTGTTTTTTAATGGCAAGCCTTATTATGAAGTTTGGAACACTTAATCCTTTATCAACAGTAGCATACATCAACTCCAGCACTACCAAAATAATTATTGATTAAACCATATTAGAGATACCGTGCAAAAACAGAACATGAAAAAAACAGTTTAAGTATGGGAGGAGAAGAAAAATATTTTGCGAATGCACATATAGAGCTCTCTACTTCTGCTATTTGTATGGGACAGTTTTATGACAGCCTGTACTTACAGTAAGGCGAGGACATTTTGACTTGGCAAAAACTCCCATGAATATATCAGGGGCATTGAACTCCTGCAGAAACAAAGCGACGTCCTGTGGAAGAACCAAATGGAGAAGTAAGTTGCCTTTCATCACTGCTGAACACAAGTCAAGCCTTTTCCTCACAGAACCAGGACTGGATCAAATAGATGTCAAATCTGTTACAAAACATCAAATATTCACCCACATTAATAGCAATAACACACTCTGCAACCACCCTCACAGTTCGGTGGGGAAAGTTCAGCAAGCCCCGGTGGCACATTGTGTGTCATTGTGTGCCAACCCCTTCAGCTTCTCGGGCTTTCTGCTCACCGAGGGTCAGACACAGAATCCAGGAAATACAACTTGCTTGGACCATAACTTAATCCAAGTGTATAAAAAGAAACAGGGAAGGGATCACCACCGCACTCACTCAGAGCACACAAAGGAGGAACATCTCACAGAACTCATTTCACCTCACACCTTTCACACACAAGATCAGTGCTCTGTTGAGGACTGAAGGACCTATCTTCCACACTTACTTAAATTATCTGAACAAAGAACAGTATCTCTCTTATTTGAGAGGATAATCTTGAGGAAAAAAAAAAAACTTCGCTCTTACTTTCTTTAGTATTTCAGAACGTCTATGGGAAAAAAAAAGGGGGGGGAGATTTCATTTAACTGCCATTAATTTAAAAACAGTTTATCCCTCAGAAACAACTACATTTACCAGTATGACGAGTGCCTATGGCTAAAATAAAGGACATCCTTTTAGAGATAGAACCAGTATCACTCTAGGGCCAAGCTCCTACAGGTAACGCTCTGCACCAGGAGCACCTTCAGCTCATGGAGGTAACGCTTCGCACCTGGGGCACCTTCAGCCTCAGCTGTAGCACCACATCCTAAGGACTCGGGGCAGCCGCTGGCGGCAGTGCAGGGAGCCGAGGCTGTGCGGAGCAGGGCTGATGTGCGGCCCCAGCGCTGCGTGGTACCAGACCCCTGGGGCAAGGCCTGGCAGAGCCCGAGCTTTATTCACCGTGTTCTGGTGGAGTAGCTCGGCTTTAGGCACGCTCCTACCTCGTCCATGGACATGTCCCACACTTTGCAGATGTCGTTCTCCATCTCCTCGTCCAGCTCCGTCTGCTCCCCGCTCCCCCCGGGCTCCCCCTGCT